CTCTCAGCCAATCAGTGGCGCCTCCCCCGGCAGCACTCCGCGCTTCCTGAATTTTAAAATTCAGAGCGCTGGAGGCAACTTATGGGTTAAACCATTTGAGAACAGTTTAACCTCTTGAGGTAAGAGTGACTCTGGGGGCCGCCTCCTGCACCAAAACAATTAACTTTTATATAATAGGTTAATAACAGTCTGCCAGCCACTGGCATGTCAAAATCCAGCTAATAAGTCTGGCATAGTCTAAAATCCACGTGCAAGGCAAAGTTCAATTAATATTTTTTTTTTTTAAAACAGTCTAACAGCCACAGCTGTGGCAAAGTCCAGTTAAAGGGACCATGACCACTTAATCTCATTGAAGTGGTCTGGGTGCAGTGCACCTGTCCCATTAACCCTGCATTGTTAATTATTGCAGTTTCTGAGAAGTGGCTGAATAACAGAGTTCCATTAAATGACCCTGGACGTCCTCACACTGTGCATGATAACATCCAGCATCATTAAAAACCCAGTAGGAAAGCTGCTTTCCTAAGGAAATGCCTTAATACGTGTGACGGTTTCAGAATCACAGTGACATCGGCAGAGGAGGAGCCTGACCCAGTATTGAGGGACATTGGCGCTGGAATCAGATAAGTGACAAAAGGGTTTTTAACCCTTTGCCAGCAGTTTTATATACCTAACACTATAGTCTTCCTTTATAGTCTAACAGCCACAAGCTTGGCAAAACCCAGTTATACTCATCTCTACAGAGTATCAACAATGTCAGCTGGGAACTACAGTTTTTATTACACTGAGCCAACCAAAGGGCTTCAATCAGGCCCGGACTGGCCATCGGGCATACCGGGCAAATGCCCGGTGGGCCGCGATGGCCGTGGGGCCGAGGCCGGCAGGGGATCTCCCCGGCCGGCCCCTGCAGGGCCAGCGCTACCCGAGCGCCGGCCCTGCTGTGTGCCTCCGTGGGCCGGTGGGGAGATCAAAGATCTCCCTCACCGGCCCAGAGGCAGGGAGATGCGGCCGCCAGCTGGGTGAGGGTGGGAGGCAGGAGAGAGGACACTGCTTGTTAGAGCTCCGCCGGTCCTCTCGCGGGATTCTGAGCGTTGCCGCGGTTACCATGGCAATGCTCAGATCTCGCGAGAGTGAACTCTAACCTGCAGGTTAGAGTTCACTCTCACCACTGGACCACCAGGGAAGTATGGCAGAACGGCTCCCCTCCCTCCATGGCAGAACGGATCTCCTCCTTCCCCCTCCCAGGAATAAAGGTAAGAAGGGAGGGGGGGGAAATAATTATTTTTTTTTTATTAGTAAAAAAAATATATGTAAATTTAAATAAAAAATACATTCACTCACACACACAGCACCCCCAGACACAGCCCCCAGACACAGCACCCCCCAGACACACACAGCACCCCCAGACACAGCACCCCCCAGACACACACAGCACCCCCCAGACACACACAGCAACCCCCAGACAGACACAGCACCCTCAGACACACACAGCACCCCCAGACACACACACAGCACCTCCAGAGACACACAGCACCTCCAGAGACACACAGCACCTCCAGACACACACACACAGCAACCCCAGACACACACAGCAACCCCAGACACACACACAGCAACCCCAGACACACACACAGCACCCCCAGACACACGCTCAGATCTCGCGAGAGTGAACTTTAGCCTGCGCCCCAGACACACACAGCGCCCCCAGACACACACAGCACCCCCAGAAACACACAGCACCCGCAGACACACACAGCACCCGCAGACACACACAGCACCACAGACACACAGCACCCCCAGACACACACAGCAACCCCAGACACACAGCGACCCAGAGATAATACCTACTTGAAGACCCAGACACACAGCACCCCCCAGACACAGCACCCTCACTCACACACACAGCACACTCCCACACATATACAGCACACACATATATATATATAATAACCCTCAGTGAGTTAACAGACAAAGGAAATTAGAAACCTAGAATGTGACAGCAGATAAAAACACCCTCACACACAGCACCCCTCTTACATACACACACTGCGCCCCTCACACATACAATAAGTCCAAATATATATAAATATATACATACACACACACACACACACACACACTACAGCACCCCTCACACTGCACCACTACACACATTTAGTCCCTTACCTATATGCACTCTTAATCCTCTACACACACACACACACACACTGGGTCCTTTACACAGTAGATCTCCTACACACACACACTACATTCCTTGTCAGCAAACACATACAACATTCTCTAAACACACCCTCTCTGCAACCCCTACACACACTACGTCACCTATACACACACACTTCAGCCAGTATGCACACACTCGCTGCATCCCCTATAAAACTATGCCCCCTATACACACACTCTCTACAGCCCCTAGCCAGACATATTACACCACAAACACAAATTAAATTGACCTATTTATACAATACCACACCACACTCTACACACACGCAATCCCACAAGCAGGCTCCAAACATATGCACCATGCACTTTCCTGGCCCGTTTGTCCTCTGGTATCCCACTTGTGGAGACACCAGAGACAATTTAAAAGCAAACACAGCGCAAGCATGTTATTAAATTTGAACAAATTCAGGGCCTTTTTCTAATGCCAGAGCTTTTCAGCAGGGCTCTGGGCATTGAACCAACATGCTCACTTTGAGAGGGGGCGTGTTGTCATTAGTGATGACAAAACACACACTCTCTGGCCCCACCCCCTTCTTAGGGGGCCGCTCTGATTGAAAAATGCCCGGGCCTAATTTTTTTCCCAGTCCGGCCCTGGCTTCAATGATGCTGTCTAGGCATAACAAAGGGTAGTCATAGGGACTCCAACCTGGTAACTGTTCATATTCAGATAATCACTATAAACCAGGCATGTCCAACTCTATGCCGCTTGTAATGCAGCCCACTTGCCGTCCGGGCTGTTGGGCAGCGCGGGAGGCAGGGAGCCCATTACTTACTGTGCTCTTTCTGCAGTAAGCCGGCAGCTGGGATATGATATCATCTCAGCATCACTGCTGGCCGCGCGAGGAACATGTGCAGGAAGACTACAAAGATCCCATCACAGCAGCAACCCCTGGCCACCAGGGAGAGGATACACTCTAGCCCTCACAGAGGGAGGCTGGGTAGCCCTCATAATTACTAAATGTGTGTGTATGCAGGGGCGGACTGACCGGTCGGGCACTTCGGACACGGTCCGAGGGCCCGGCCGGGAGGGGGGCCCGCCGCCAGGGCCGCCTTCAGGGGGCCCGGCGGCAGGGCTGGATTGGGGGCGGCATTTGGGGACTGTGGAACAAGGTGCCACCGGGTGGCCGGTCCGGTGGCACACTGTGAGGGGGGCGGCCGTTTCATGCTGGAGCCGCCGGACCGGGTGGCAGCCTCGCCGGTCCGGCGGCATTCCTCTCACTAACACTGAAGAAGGAGGAGGAGGAGC